AGTTTTGTACCAATTCGATCACTGTATAGAAAATACATATAGTCAAAGACATGCAGACAGAGAACTGCCAGACGTGCCAATTCGTAAGTGAATGGTCACCGAAAAAGTATGGCGGCGCCCACTTCTGTCTAGACAGACCTGCACACCCGAAAAAGCGGAGTATTTCCGAAATTAAGTGTAAATTAAAATATCACTAAAAACTGAGTAAAGCAACATAATAGAAGCATAGCGCAGAACGAAAAACACGCGGAATGGATTGTGTCAAGAGGGTCATTTGGGCATGAGCTTCTCGACCCTAAATATGTGAAGTTGAGTCGAGGGCAATGCCGAAACCAGTTCGAACGCCGCTTTCGAATTCACAACGATATCGGCTCTAGTCAGAAAAAAAGCAAAGCTTTCGGTGCTATTCATCATACGCCGGATACGCCACTTTTTCGGCATTCACTCGAAATGGTCGGGGTACTTGAATACTCGTCAGGATTACGCAGCGGTACGAACAAAATTTTCATCAGCCCTGATGGGTCTGCTGGCAAACACCTCAAGGTAATAGGAAGTTTGAACGGCCTGCAAAAAATCCCGAAGGGTTCGATCTTTGGATTAGAATTGGGAGAGCGTTACCATTCATTACGACAGTTCAAGATTTTAGAATAAGCATTAGGAATCAGTATACATAATAATATTATAATAATATGAGGAAGAAAAAGCGGTTGCCAGATTGAAATCGTCAGATCCATCCAAATTGGTCTCCCTTGGCGACACGAAGGAAATGAAGGCCACATTTCTCATTTGGAAAGCCAGTTTGCACTTTAAAAGCCTAAAGCAAGTCACGAAAAAAAGTAAGCCGTTGTGAATGGAAAACCCACAGGCGATACCTCTCGTGTGGGATCCAGATGGTTCTCATCAACGAGTGGGCAATATTACTGGGAATATTTGAATGGGAAGCAGCTTGGAGCAGCTTCTCTAGAACCATGGAAGAAATAGTCAGCTGCCACTGGCTCTTTACGTTTCAGTGGGCATTATTCCAATGTTGTGAGCAAGCAAAATACGGAACTGGCACCCACTGGTGTCCAGAAGCTTCACTGGACTGGAACTGTCAGTTGTAGAGTGCTGAGAAAAGAACTGACTGGTTTACACTATTCAGCATGTGTTTCTGAAGGCAGAGGTCTTTTTGACGATATGGAGACAGCGCCCGGGTGCCAAAATACGGACAGGTTCCATTGTGGGCAACGGGCCACGGGTGGAATGCTTCGAGACAGACCTCGAAAGTTCTCTCCTAAAGCATTCCACTCGTGCCTCCAATGGAATCCTCAAACTTCCAGTCACTAGCGCCGAATCATCTCTGGGACATAGAACGCCTTCGATTGGTTTGAGATAAGACATCAATATGAAGGAGCATTAGACCCCTTCAACTCCTCAGCATTTGTCAAGTATCCGATCCGGAACAACGACGACATTCAATTGACTACATCGAGAGATCTTGATCTCCCACCGAAAGTCAGTTTAATTTCGAAAATTGAACTTTCAACAAAAAGGTCCATAATCCTAGAACACAACAATGGCACTGAGGAGAAAATTCAGAAAATGAAATTCACTGCAGAAAATTATCACAGCAGTTCATCCTGAACACAATGCATCATCTATGCAGGACCGGTTCCCTGGAATTTGCACTCCCCACATTCAGTACGTATCCATTATGTTACCATAACCGCCGCACCCGTTCACATATCTTTATAATTGTTCGGTACTGTACTGAATTTATTACTGCTATAAGAGCGTTTCTCCACCTTATCGATAGTGCCATGGACAAGAGTAGGGTTTTCAGAGTTAACTCTAGTCCTGTTAGGACTTAAATTGCTTCAGTCGCGAAAGTAATCAGTTGTAAAGAAAAATCTACTTCCAGCAGTTGTGAGAGCTAGGAAAAGGAGAGGGAGATCGTTTTTATGTTATTTCATTGAGAACGGCCTAACGAGATTAAGACGCATAAGATCCTGTGCAGAGGGAAGGAAGGTCAAAATGGGATGAGAAACGTAGGACCGAGAGCTCACCCTCAATCCTTCTCCAAGTAGGACCGAGTTTTTTTTTCTTCACACGATTCCAGCCCTGTAACTTGCTAGCTTCAGGTACCTTTCTGGCTTCTCAGAAGTATTGAGCGTCAGCTCGAGGTGGATTGGAAAAAACAAGCGTTGTCGGTCAAAAAACCGCAATTTTAATTTAAAAATCCACCTATGTGAATATGACCGAACGTTCCTGAAAAGGCAGATACGATCTCTCCAGTGAAGCTTCACTACCTCGGGCTTGAACCAACCCGTGAGGCCTTTGTGAAGAGATGCTTTCTGGTACTACCAACCCCTTCGACGCCGCGAATCGTGACTTTGTTGATGTGATCAGAAAAAGCTTGCACGGCAACTCCGTAAGTTTCATTCCAAACTTTACCACTTCCTTGCACTGGACAAGAAGTCGTTAGATGCACTCAAGAGAATACTAACTATTGAGCACTCGATCGCCTGATGAGAACTACCTTCAAAGGTGCACAGACCGTTTCGATATGTATTCAATGTGATTTACTGGTTAGCTAAAACAATCAAGGAATTCGTACTAGTCGAAGATGAGACCATCAAACGGAACGGAGTTGAAGTTGCAGTATCAGGGAGAACCGGTAAGCACAGGCCACCGAGCTGCCCAAATCCGAAAAGCCATATGGGTAAATCTGGGTAGTGGCAGCTACCCCCGCAGGCACCGAATGTTGCGACTTGGCTGATCGACCACTGAGACCACTTTGATCGGAAGTAATCTGGGCAATTTTCGATCCAAACTAGAAGAAATAAAAGTGAAGTCGAAGAAAATGTAAGAGCTACCAGCCAGTTGCCACCGTCACGCAAACACGAATGCACTAATGCACTTGGGGTTTCATACATGCAAATCGCTCAATAAATTCATGCGAATGTTACTTTTTTAAGAGCGTATCGATAGCGAGCAGATGTGGAGGAATAGTGTAGAGCCCAATCAAAGAAACTTACCACCGGTGCTTTGGCATTCTTTTCTTGAGGCTTTGTGGCAGCTGTCGACAGAACGGCACTTCTGCAAAGCGGAAATTCAGAAAAAGTTCATCTACAAGCAGCAAAGAAATATGAAGAAAAAGTCATATATGGCGCTGATCGTTTCGTAGTCTCGATTTCCAAAAGCCACAAAATCATTGCAAAATCAAAGGGATCATTCAAGCCGAATTGAACTGCAGCGCAAGAAAAACTGCTCCAATCGAATCGACGCGCCGCGACAGCCCGCGTCCCATCATCGCAAAACTCTGTGAGCTAACTTTATTGCGGAGATATTTCATTGAACGTAAAAGAAGAATTTAACAGGGGTGGGTACGAAAGGCAAAGGCTGTAGCTTATTCTAGACCAAAGAAAAAGAAGAGTGTTGTTCAAGGCCCATTATTTGCCCACTTTTACTGCTTGTGTGAGGCTCGACCCAGATCGCTCTTCTCAATAGAAGGTGCAAATCCCACTGGTTTGGCTTGGAATGCTCCCCAGCATAGTACAGGACGAAGGCCTGGTGATCTAACGAAAGGGTTCGAGTAGGAGTTCGTCCCAGAGGGGACGAGTTTATTTATGATCTTGGACTCGTCCTATATATCGGTCACTTGGACAGATCGTTATCGTAGACTGGTTCAGGTCTCAGTGACGGTTTTTTAGAACCTGACCCCAAAATATCAAAGAAAAATGGTGCAGGAATCTTGAATAGGGCAGCAATTCTTCCCAATCAATCACCCCATCTCATATCATGATCTCGCTCACATTCATCTACATACACGTCAGGCAATCAATCAACTACCGTTACTTTTCTTATTCTAAAGTTTCCATCCAAAGTTTCCTCTCTGAAGAATTTTGTTCAGTATTCGAATAGGGTTCTAAACACACCTGACAGCCTTCGATGCCGGTCTGAGAGCAGATTTAGCAAGAGTGGAGAGCATTTCTGAAAGACAGTTGACGTTAGAAGAACGGCTATCATAAAAGATTATCGCTTTTGACGAACGAACACGGAAAGGAGCCAAAAAAGAAGGCTGTACGCTATTCAAAGCCTAGTCGACTGAACAACTTATGAAAGGTTGTTGCCATCAGCTTATTAAAAACAGCTGCTAGCGGATCGAAAGAGGCAAAGACTTCCTGAGCGTAAAGGATCATGCAAAGGCTGTTAAGACTAAACGGGTGACATATAGGGCAAAGTAACACCATGAGACATACTAAGGACTACCAAATAAAATAGCAAGTTTCCATGCAGCACACAAATGGAATGTTCAAAAAGAATCCTGACGGGATCCGAACCCGCGTTAGCGCTTGCCGGAGACAGCGCTTCTTATTCTTTACACTACTAAGGCAGTCTACAGCCTCTCGCACGGCGGCAAAATAACAGCAGTCACAAAAGAGATGTCAGATCAATACCTTACAATTAAGATATTTATTAAGACCCTAAACTTTAATGTGTATTTACTGCGTAACTATTGGTTATTCAGTCCTTCCTATTCGATTTCCCTGTATAGTTTCTATCATAAAGGAAGAATAAAAAATAAAGTCTCATGGCGTTAATCAATCCCATCTGAGGGATGCGCCCCCGCACTCGACTTCTTTTCAGATCGTACTGGCGTATTGAACCAGTATGTGGCCTATACAATGACTTGCGGTGGCCGGCCGATGTACAAGTCAGTGCTTTTATGGTCTCGGAGACCAATTAATCGACTACGGAGGGATGGAAGGCTTGGTTGATTCAGGCAGCTATCGTTCCCATATCGCTTGTACTCGTGTGCACACCTAGCAAATGTGATCGAATGAGGAGACACTTGGGGTGCTACCATATTATACAAAGTTAAGTCCCCGGGGAATGCCAAAATGGATCCTATGCCTTTTCTGCAAGTTTTACTCAGAATACATGAATAGAATGCAAGGAGTAGCAGAGCTCTAGTATTCGAGCAAGAATACATTCCACTATATATTGATAAATATCCATCGTAGTTCTTAAATCATATTTCAAAAGCAAACAAAATGAAGCAAAAAAAAGACGTGCTTTTTGCTGAAATTTTTGTTTACTTGCTTGTTGGTTTTTTTCGTCAACTCATTGATAAATGCTCCCATTGGATGTGGGAACAACTGTTGATCAGATTTACAGCACAAACGATCTATAAACGCGATCAAAAAGAAGTTGTTATAAAACAAAAAAAAAAAGGAAATGAGATAAGAATCAACTGTAACGCAGTTCTAAGCAAGAACAGAGCTGCCGAAGAGGTTCGGAGCCTCTCTTGGAGACTGAATTGGTCCCTCGATGAGAGCAATCTTCATCATTCAAAAGCGTTCGAAGAAATCGACTCAAAGCGGATTAAGCAATCCATAGCTGATGAGTGAGATTGCATATCACGGAGTTAAAAGAATGAGGAACACAAAAGATGGTTCATGATTTTTTAGCTTTTCGATTGACAGCGAAATCTTTTCAGCGGATTAAGCAATCCATAGATGATGAGTGAGATTGCATATCACGGAGTTAAAAGAATGAGGAACACAAAAGATGGTTCGTGATTTTTTAGCTTTTCGATTGACAGCGAAACCTTTTCCTGGGAGTTACAGAGCAGCCAAGAACCCATGCTAGAGATAGTAGGTATGGGCGAAGAACACGCTAAAAAAAGGCCTTGAAAGGAACTATGCCGATTCATGAAAAGGGATGTCAGAAGAGCAAAATGAAGAGATCCACGACCTAAACGATTTGTAAGTTGAATAAACTTAGATGACCTTGGTAGTACAATAACCTTCCTGGGAAGGTTGTAATCCAGGCGTCCCAAAAACGACCGTATCATGTGACATATCACACTCCAGGTACTCATTTGTCTAGATAAGTCCAGTTAGCAGTCCAGTCCATTACTTTGGAAATCTATTCATCGCCGAAAACACCTAAAAGGGTACATCAGTAGGTACTGCTGTTGCTAAAGGAGCGGTAGGTCCTGACATGGAACCCCAGAGCAATATCTAAACGTGAGGGTAGAATACCCAGACGACAACAACAGTGAAGCACGTCTGGGTCTTTACTATAACGTATAGCATGTAGCAAACCATGGAGATTGATGGGATGACGTGAAGGGAAGGCAAACAACAACCGAGTAATCGACAGACATCCAAAAATAAAGAGGCAGTGTGGTAAATAAAGAGTAGATTCTAGCTTCAAGCCAGGCTCGTACAATAAAAACCTCGATCGCATTTCCTCCAGCGGTTTGGGCCTCTTTGGTATACCCCGCGCACGAATTTTAGAAAAATGGAAAAAAAATGAAAATGAAAAATGATAGCAAAACAAACACACATCTTGTAGGCAGAAAATTGTAACCCAAGAAGCCCTTTGACTGAGAATACATAATCGATCATTGAATATATAGCTATATAAGGTGTACAGAATAAATGAATATAGAATTGAGCATACTGATGAAGGGTGGCTCGGAAAATAGTTTTTCTCTATACAAAAGATATATAGTAATCGACGAGTAATGGAGGCGCGGTCGTGCCATGAATCGTACTCAGAAAAAAAAAAGAAAAGGTGAAAAACGTGTATGGAAAACTGCCACCACTGAGTACAGTAGCATAGTGTAAAGGCATGGCTCAGAAAGGTTTCGATTCTACTTGGGAACTGCCAATCTTTTCCTTACGAAAAGACTAGTTCTAATGAATGACATATTCAATTAAGTATGAGTGAGAAGTTCTAGGATCATCTGTCCAAGAATCGCCTCATCTGGTTATCCTTTAAACACAGAAGTTGTTCTAGATCTCCTACAAATTCCGGAGAATTTCAGGAAGCTTTGAAAATGATTAGTACAAGGCCGAAACCATCGATAATGCTTTCTTCGATCTACCAATAACTTTCACAGCCAGCAGCTTAAGTTTAAGGCCTCTAAATTGTCCTCATATAAAAGCAACGGTAAAGGTGTAGGTTGTGGAAAGTGACAAGTTTGTAAGCGTAAGAAATCAAAAGAGCCATAAAGATGATCCTTCTATGAATGCAACAGGAAAAGAGAAGGAAAAATGGGCAAAAAAAATAATCGAAAAGTGCTCCAATATAGAAAGTCAAAACCAAAAACATTGCATAACTCATACTCGGAAAACAGGAGAGAAAAACAACCGAAAGTGGCCGGAGAAGCCGAAAGAAGCAGTAAACAACTCAGCTCAGTATTGATTCGTTGTTGACAACTACGCCGCAGCCACAACTGAACCCCTCTCTCGCTCAGGTCATTCGGCAGAAACCAGGTCATCACCCAGATAGATCGATACTACTGGTAAAACTGCACTGTGATCCCCTTACATCTACGATTTCAGCAGCCGGAACTGGGGCCTTATAAGTGTCTGGTGTAATTAACCTCCAGAAACACCAGAGCTCTGAGCTTAATACAGTATACCTTAAGTTCTGCGAGGGAATCTTGACAGCAAGGCCTTCATTTGCGTATGCTTTGTGCGGTGATAAGGCGGGAAACATATGAGATCAGCAGATCGCGCCATGTACTCTGACTGATTCAGAATGGCATGCCTATGTAAATGCGTTTTCAACCTATGTAACGAAGAGGAAGACATTCACATTAGCGCTTCAAATAAGTTCAGAGGCACTTGATCAACTTCAGAGACACTCCAGGACGTCCAGGAGGAGTTTGATCCTGTTAACGATAGAGATTTGACGTGGCGCTTTCAACCACTGCGCCATTCTCGTTTGTCGAGGTAAGTGCCAAACATCACTGGCCGTACCTAAAGCAACACATCAGAGAGAAAACCAATCTGGTCTTAACTATGACCAGCAAAGCCAAAAATGGAAGATGGAAACGGTAGAGATATCAAGAAAAACCAAGAAAGAAAATCAATTCTCATGCAATCAACACATATTGTCGTTAATAAATCTTTATTTGTTCTTGGGTACCCGACATATGATGTACAAGAAAAGTTTCACGGGTCTACAGTAATACATAGGTAATAAATAAAGAAATTTCACTGGCCATGACAGGCATAAAAAATATGTAGTCATATGTAAGTGTAAAACTTAGCAGTGAATTCAATGGTGAGGTCTATTGAGGAAAATCACAGGAATGATCCTCGGAATCTATACATAAGTAGTACATCTGATTACTACCTGGCAAGGAAACGAAATCGGTTATCGATCGATCGATTAGATTTCAACTGGATGTTGTTGTGGTAAGCCGCCATTCTTGCATACTGCACCGGCAATGGAAGAGATCAGCTTCACATCGTGTTCGTTTCCTTTGGCCGCTTCTTTCAGATTGGACATCGTACGTCGTGACGCCTAAACGGATCGCTTAGAAGTTGGCATTAAGGTTTATTGCGTGGGCAGATGCAAGACAAAAACAATTGGTGAATATGCGCCTTTGGAGTAGGTCATGAATTTTTTTGCGTGTTGCTCCAAGCCTCTCTCGGCGTCTGTCGCTCAAGTATAGCCAGCTCCGCGCGGGCAGCAGATCCGCGTTAGCGCTCTAACTATGAACACGCCCAGCTAGCTGATCATACGATAAATGTATTATTCCATTACCGTCCGAGCTTCCCTCAAGATTCCCTTTTAGTTTGAATATGATTCAACGGTATAAAAAATGGTATTATTGATAGTGGTGGGAAAATCCTGAAATCCAAAGAGATTGTCAAACGCCGAGCATCCTATCTATTTCCTTTCCTGTTCTATTACGATCGAATGGGAAGAATTAATACCGACTTGGTTTGAAGTTGATTTTCTCTGAAAATGATTCATAGGGGTCAGTTGGTGTTCAATCCTTTTCGATCAGTATGGGGAAAGACAACCCTTGAGGACAATGAGGAATCGTCTCTTGTTAAGAATTCTTGGCTTTTTTTAGCCAAAGTGGAACAATGTCATCGATCTGATACCAGGAGATGGTCAATTGATAAAATAGTAGAGTTAATTGAAGTATCGAAACTTACAATACTGCAAAAGTAGTTTGCAATCTCCTTCTCATGTGCAGCACTTGGTGAATTCTTCTGACATGAATGAGTGCATCTGAATGTACATTAGTTCCATTTCTTTCATCTACTCTAGGCAGTTACTTTCATGTTTTCGGAAAAAGTGAAGGTGAACCATTCCCATTCACTTATCTCCAATCTTCTCATGGAAAATTCCTTTTTTTGTAATTCTCCCTTTTTTACCTATGTATCTCGTTCCATTACAGAATTGGACACATTTGCTGTTTGTTTATCATGAAAAAAGCAATCTTTCCACAGTAATGCCCGATTTGAAATAGAAAAACGTAAATAGTCTAATTTTCTAACACGGATGGTTTCTTATATTATCTTGCTTATTATGTTCTTTGTATATTTACGAACCTGGAAATTGTTGCTATCATACAATAGATATCGATTGCCGCGTCTGCTACTCGAATCAGCTCGTACTGCCTATCTGAAGTTGGAGACATTGTTGGGAACGGAGAAGATTCAAGTCAGAAGTACCAGACAGTAAATAATCGAGCTTTTCTTAAGATGTGCTTTCATAATCCCCGAAACTCCTGTATGACTGAATATGCGGTCAAATTCTTGAAATCACTATTGTAGACTTCACGGATCAGAAACAGAAGCAAAATTTCTGAAGCAGCAGTGGCGCATGGTGGTCACGCCTCTTGAGGAGTTTGGCCAGGCGGATCTATCGTTCATAGGGGCGGTCCTCCATCACGTACTGGTTAGTTGCGCTTTTTATTGGTTTAGATTTTCTTATAGACAACGCTGAATGCTTACCGATGATTCCTTTCTTGTACTTCATTAGTAGACTCTCTACTGTCTTGCCGAACTCTTTTATGCATTCGTCTAACTTCGAAGATGACTCTTTGAGAGCTGGTTCTACTACGCTCGAAAAGTCAGCACCAGTGCTGCCACTGAAGACATTCATGTACAAGCGCGATGAGTAAGAGTTGGTTTATCGCTAAGAGAGACCTTGAGTTCTCACCCTGTTGCTTTTTTCACCACCTGTCCAAGGAGCGTTCCAATACTGCCGGATTTGATATCCTTAGCCATCTTCTGTAAATGTTTTCCAGCATGTTGGGCTCCGGTCAAAGCCACAAATAGTCGCATAACGTCATTAGCACCTTCAAAGATTCTGTAAAAATAATTTTTATACACTTTATCTTGAGATCAGCATTGTATGTGCCCAGATGATTCTGGGAACCCCGCTTACCTGAAGATTCGTAGATCCCTCATAACTCGTTCCAGACCACAATCCTTCATGAATCCCATGCCACCATGCAGCTGAATCGCCTCATCACATACCCACCAGGCGTTTTCCTGAACAATCGCTACCGTAGGGATTATGAAAGACAACTTTCAAAAAACTCAAACACCATCTAATAATCTTTTCTATTCATGAAGCAGCAGGGTTTGCATTGCACGACCTAAGATGTCATACCAATCAATACTTATCTTTTGCGTTACAGCATTGAGCAGTTTACCCGCCTTTAACATGATTATACTATTTGAAACAGCACTAAATCAGCATCTTTTTGATGATTTTCGAACTTAAACCAATTTTTTTATCTGAGCAATCATTTCCATCTACATTTTTTTTGGGGTCAGTGAGAACAATTATCGCCCGTAAGGAGGCACATGTGATCTCAGCATTCGTCGAATGACCGCGTCGCGGCCGCTTGCGGCGTAAGTTGGTATTACACAACTGCGATGAGCAAAAGGCCGTAAGAAGTTGAAGACTGATTACGCCCTATGCTACGAGTCTGGTCTGAGCACACTTCATCACTGGGAAGCGCATGCACAGCAACCACTCATGTCTCCGACTGAGTTACTCAGGGCCATCAGGTGTAACGGGGATACACAGCGAGAAAGAATTGGGTGTGTCACCTCAGACGCACAACACAGTCAAGCAGAAGGAATCAGAAATGCCGAAAAGCTTACCGATGCGGCGACTTTTCCAATGGCCGCCTCTAACTGGTAATCCTTAATACCACGATCCATATTCGAAGCTAGTAGATAGAGAACCGATTCGGTGGCATAGTGTCGGGCAACCATGTTTGTGAGCTTCTCCTGAAACCATAGGCTAGTAGGAGTGACTTTAGTATACGGAAGAGGAAGTCCGACAATTCTTACAGTACTGGTCCATGCAGTACTCACCTGGACATTGAAGAACTCCTGTAAGGTTTGACCGAATTGTACACGACTCGTTACGTGATCAACCTGGAAAGAAACAAAGGAATAACCAGGAATTTTTTTGAACAGACTGACTTTGAACCCACAGAGGTAGTGCAACACTAGACAAGAAGACTTGTAGTGCGTGCCAACAATCCACTTCGTTAGGAAGCGATTTTAGTAAAGCAGTTCATGTAAATAGTTTGCACTGGAATTTTCCCTCTGTTACCTACTCTTCATATGAATTTGTATATTGTAAAGGAGACGCTATTTTCTACTATCCACTCTTTTTAAAGGTAGTCACTCTTTCAGTCGTAGATAGCTCAAAGAGCGTCCTTTTCGTGGATAATGTCCTTGAGAAATCGAACCCTTCTAGGTCGCCCGAAATTCTTTACCGTCTTCTGTATGCAGTACTTCATTGCACCGGTGCACATTGCAGGAATACCGAAACGGCCGTTGTTCAGAATGTTCATCGCCACTTTGAATCCTTCACCTTCCTTTCCGAGCAAATTCTCGACGGGAACCTGTAAACTCACAGGGAATTTGATGAACTGGCTCTATCTGGCAGTACCAGATAAACATCAGCAGAAAAATAACCACAATTAGAGTTCTCCGAAGTGATAACATATGCGAATTCAACCCGGGTACCAAGATTCCGAGAAAATAGTTTGAAAACAGATACATTCACTTCTTTGCATCCAAACATGGCCAAACATCCAAGCGATCAATGACTATTAGTATTGCCATCAATGATTGATGATCGTCTGATTGACCCACCCAGTCCCCGACGGTTCGACTAAGTTTTGAAGGAGCAGAGATTCTGGGTTTTCAAGAGATCTTACCTTAACATTATCGAAGTGTACTTCGGTGGTGTTCGATCCTTTGATGCCCATTTTCTTCTCCTGCGGCCCACTGGTCACACCACCAAAGGCTCGTTCAACGATGAACGCCGACACTTTGTCTTTCGTGCTTCCATCTGGCGTCTTTACTGGAGTCTGCAATATTCAAGTTGAATCAAAGTAGAACGCTAAGGTTTTTCGGAGGTAAAGACTGCACTGGAAATGTGGTGTGGGCAGTTCCCAAATTCACACACGCACGCAAGCCAACTTTAATTCGAAATGGCAACTTGCCTAACTCTAATAAATCACCCAGTTCTAGAAAAGAGAATAACAGACCTGAGCGAAAACGGTAAAGACGTCAGCGAAGCCACCGTTACTGATCCAGAGTTTGCCGCCGTTCAGGATGTAGTGCTTGCCATCTGGCGACTTTTCAGCACGAGTTTTGATCGACTAAAATGTGAAATCGTATACTGATATCTGTAAAAATGTCACCGCAAAAGGTACTCACATTAGCATCAGATCCACTTCCTGGTTCAGTGAGACAAAACGCTGCAAATTTGCGTCCCGTCGCTAGATCTGGTAGATACTTGCTCTTTTGCTCTTCAGTGCCGTAAAGAAGGATGCCCTTGTAGCCGATCGACTGAAATCAGTTCAGTAGGGTCAAGGGAAAGAGGAAGAACTGGGTGGATGTGCAACGAAATGGGAAACATTTGTTACAGAATGGTAATCGAGATGAGTGGGAACTCCTTATAAACAAAGAAGGAATTGTTACACACAGGGAAACAGTAGCTACTGCGTAGACAGAGCTTAAATCGAGGTTTAATTTTTCTTTTCGCGAAAAATCTTGACGGGGGAAATGTGGCGGGGACGAAGGCTGAGTACGAAGAGCAGAAAATTTGTAGACGTCTTCAAAAGAGAAATTCGTTCAGCACAGTAAACACGTGTAGCACCCAAACAGGCCAATCTTTGGAAATCTATTTCAAAAAAAAAACACCCTAGAAATCTAGCAAATGTCTCGGGTACCTCGCCCACACACCCTTCCTGCTACTGCACCCCTACAGCTATACCACTTGCCTGATGGGCGCCCATCACGACGCCAAATCCTAGATCGTGGGCGCCAATGGTTTCTGCGAGTTTCGCCATCTGACTGTTGCACAAACCAGCTCCTTCGTATTCTGGCGGTACCACTGCACCAAAGCCTCCAAGTTCACCGAATTGCTTCAACACTTCCATTGGAATCTCCATAGTTTCGTCGTTTCTAAACAAGCCAATTTATTTAGGAATCTACATGAACTATTATTGAACGGAAGCAGAAGCACACGCTTTTAATACTTAGCATTTCTGTACGTTTGCGCTCACTTCGCTTAGGCAGGTGTAGTTGATATAAAAACTTTCACCAACTTTCTTCCATAACGTCATGGTCTCATGGCCCTTATGAGAGTAAATTTGAAATAGGGACATCAAAACTGGCTATAGGGCTCTACAGGTAACACTTTGCAGAACTGGCTGAATTATCTGGAGAGAGAACAACCTAACCGAGGGGGGAACAGGGGCATCCAACCACTGGAGTCGCCGACAAAGATCACAGATCACGGTCGGAGCTTTTCTGTCATGTCTGCTCTAATATCTTCTCAAGTTTACTGGACCTTTTGAAAAGTCTGAGTATGACTGAAGTTTGAAGAGAAATTGCAAGCTGGCAATACTGCAATAGTGGAGACCCTTTGTTACAAGGTGCTGCTGGGAGAAGCTTTCATTCCTCAATTTTGGTTCCCTTAATGCTGTCGCCTTTCCACTTGCGGTATACTCCTCAGATGCTTCACTATTTCTGGATGGGAAATGTACGTACGGCGTATCCTTAAGCGGATCGGGAGCAGACTTTCTATCGCTTTGAGTAGTAGTGTTAATACTCTCGTTGCCAATACTATCGCCCGTCCCCATTAGGTGAGACTTGTTGCAAGAGGTCTATCATGCAACAAACCGCTGCAAGAAATCCACTCACTTCACAACGTCGTTCACTGTCTCGAAGAACTTTTCGGTGGGAGTGATGAACATATGAAGGGTTTCACGCTGATCGTCGTCCAACTTCAGTGGATAGGGGAAAATCTGTTCAGTGACAGCTTGTCCACGGAAAAGATTCATGATGAACGACTTGGTTTCCTGAAAAAAAACCATCGACCCATTGCTTGAAATCGAATCAGTCGAACAAAACATCGTTTACAAAAGTAATGGATTAATGGATACGGTGGAATCATCAAGGGCCCTAGTATTATTCAGCTCGATCACAACCCCCGAAGAATAATGGTAGAACATTTACAGGAAAACAGCAAAAGCACAGACTAAGATTTCAACATTGTTTTCCGTGCACAGGGCACGTTGTGATGTTAAAAGAGAGACAAATTGCTTATATAAACACCCAATCCCCTTCTTTCAATGAGCTTGTCCAATTTCTGAATGTAACAAAGTATTCTTAATTGGCTCGAATACTTGCTCGTATACCGTAGCGCACAGACTAACGGAAAGCTTTTCCGAAAAAACCGAGACACGAGGAGGAAAACAGAATTGTCGGAACGGAAAGGGTAGCTAGCATTTGTGAATAGTACTAAAGTCGGAACCATTGCATGAATAAGTGCAATCGCTGTATTCACAAATATGAATCAGCAACTACTTAGTAAGGGAGGCTTTTATATAGTAAGACAAGACTTACAACCGGTCCCTTCTCTTGCTTCTCTTGTGGTTTGGCAGCAGCGGCAGTCGAAAGTGCGGCATTTCTGTAAAAGGAATGAAAAATCCTTTCCAGTAAAGAATTACTCACACGAAACTAGAAAGTGGAAGAGGCAAAAAATTATGAACGGAATCGATACAGTAACAATTTTTCATCGTTCGAAAACCATAGCGCTGAGTAACTGTTGGGGATGCGCCGCGTATTTATATCAAGTCGCTATAATATGGAAGGCTTAACAGTATATCTGCAGCAATGGCAGTATTTTGATCAATTTCAGTTTTTCTTGAATGATGTGTGTCTTCAATCGCAATGATGATGCAGTCATACTTGACGGCACTGAAGAGCCGTGGGCCCCGCTTGGACATGTAGCGGAAACGGATAACCAGCGACGTAGTATGGACGAAACAGAGATCCATCAAATGGTAAAGGCCGAGATCGGTTTGGCTCTAGGACCAAGTTAGTGGAGTTAGTCCAAAAAACTCATTTTTTCACTTCCATATTTAGTCTCCAGCGAGACATGAGGGTTGCGTTGCGATTAGAATCGCTTTTCTTCTACAGTGATGACTATATTCCCTCTCCAACTGAGAACCTTCAACGAACATCTTCCCCTACTCCACGGAACCAAATGAGCCGCATTCAGTAAAAGCGCGGCGCCATTTGATCATCTCCTCGGCCTACTTTATACTATCTATTATGTTTGCAGTTAAAAAACAAAAACCTCCGATCAATGGCGCTTGGTTCTTCACTGCCGCCGAGTATGACTGCTGAATGGAAGTCATAAAGCTCAAATGGAACTGAAATACTGGTCATACCTGACAACCTTCGACACAGGTCTGGCAGCAGATTTGGCAAGTGTAGAAAGCATTTCTGAAAAGTATTGGTTCTAGAGGAGGAAGTGTAATGTGCCAGTACAGTATCCGCCGGGAGTAATATTGAAACGATGCGAAGAACACGTACTGATGTTTATTGTTCCAAGTCGGTTCAAAATTGTGTTCATTGAAACTTGCATTCATCATAGAACTCAGCTTATAAAGCTCTACGAGATGATTCAAAGAGAACCTGACAAGCCTTGTTTCAAAGAAGCTCCATTTTAAGCAATCCCCCTATTTCAAGGGGATTTCGTCGCATTTATAAAATTTAATTCGTTTACAAAGCCAAATCGAACCACTGCGAGTATGCCGTTTAATTTCCTAGATAGAATAAAAGCTATCATATAATATTCAGCTATCATATATAATTCATCTACATCATATATAATTCAACTCTTGATGCATACTTTTCCGTTTTCATTTTCGGTCTCTTGTTCTTCACTGACCGAAGATCGTTCTCCTTTCAAACTCGTGTATGCACGTCACCATCCAACGAATGGGGGATCGCTCACGGAGAACAAAAGACCAAAACTGGGAACAAAACTAAGTTTTCACTAACAGAGAAAAAGAACACTTATAATGAAGGATATTACTTATTTCTTGCAGAACCCCTGCTTTGGTCTGGTACTGTTCATCGATTCTATGGGTATCTTCTGAAAATCACACGAGCCACCCCTCTGAAATGGGCGGTATGCCCTGAAATCAAACTAATCCAGAGTGAAGCTTTTTTCAACTTTCCGAAACTCGATCATGTAAAGCTCTTTGAACTGAGTACAGTGGTGTACTCTACATTCTAAAATCCCATTTGAGACGAAGACCATAACGAAGGACTTTCGCGTTTTCTGCTGCGAGTAAAGTTAGAAATTCTTTTGCCAAGAACTGTATATTGCCTGAACCTATAAATCATCAAAAACAGGCAAATTATCATATCAGCAAACTCAAGCATCATGACTTTATATAATGTCCGCTGTTCGAGACCCTCTTGGAAGAGAAATATACGTTTCAAGGGCGATTAGACACAAACGACGGGCAATCCCAGTAATGAGTTGGGAGAGGAACAAAACAGCTGGGAAGACGATGATAAAGTGGGGGACAGCAAGTAAAGAAGGGATCATTTAATTAAAAAGAAACAGTTCGATAGGCACGTCCAAATCTGGTTGAAAGACGAAAAAATCAATTCTCGTCTGTCTATGTTTACGATATTTCTCCGTACTTGCCGTGGAATCTAAATATCGACTAAAATGCGAAGGGATCACAAATAAATAGCTAATTCATGAAATGCTCTGCACGAAACCACAGGTGCACTTCTATCTTATCGTCCTGTGCTGAGAGATATTTCGGGAACCACGTGAAGTCAAAAAAATCCCTTCTATTCAGCCTAATTGTATGCGAAAATGAATTTTGGCCATAAGAATCCAAGGGATTTTAGGTTGGGAGAATACTTTCCGACCTCTGATCTGAGGTAAGCCCATTCGCGAACTAATTATAACAGGAAGCACTTCACTTAACGCCAGTTATCATGGGCTTGCAGCCTCTCCAAACTTTACCATCCAACTTTTTCGAGAGAAAATTCCGGCAACGGAAGTTTGATTATGCAAATAATGGCAGGTGATCTCAATGTTAATTACTCAAAAGGAATAGTACTGAATACCACAATCCTCCTCGCCTGGTACCGCTTGTCGCTTTTTGAGCAGATTTTGTGGCACTGGCTCGTGCCTTTGCTTCAGGTGAGGTCCACGAACATGCATCTTCATCAAAATTCGCTCGTTTCTATGAAATTTTTGCTATCTCTCGAAAACTTTTTTTCATTCCGACTTGCCTGGTATGAAGAGAAGTGGTTTCTAAGGTTGCCGCGTTAGTTTGCGCAAGGTGAACGAAAGGTGAACTTTCTTTCAAACCCATCACGATTCGTAGAAGATGATTGCGAGGTACGACCCAGAGTCAGAAACAACCCCAAATCCGAAACTACCAGTGAAGGGTTGTTCTTCATTTTATTCTGTTCACCAGACTAATGACAGAAATAGAGCTAATATAATATTTACAGTGTGGGAGAACTCTCTCCAAAAAGACAAGTCAATTGAACAGAAAATAATGAAAAGGTCACAGAACCGCTTCAGACCTCAGGTCTCAGATTGATGCTACCGTAATTCACAAAGCAACAACATGCTTTATGCAGGTGCAACCTAAATCGCATCTTGGTGAAAAATCCGAAAGCATGGCCGAACGCCGATCAACTGCAATGGCGAAAACGGGGAAACATGTTTTCAGAGTAAAGCTTCGAACGAAAGCAAAAACCAAAAGGGTCATATCAAATAACTATCTCTATCTTTTGAAATCGTTTGTTCACAGGGCACATTGACGGATGGATTGCAAATAATTATTTGTTTACTAGAATAACTCACTAGAGAGAAATTGCGAAATTTTTCCGACAAACAAAAAGTACTCCACCGAATCAAAAATGAACGAAAGGCAAATTATCCAGTTGTCTTTTGAGTAATGAGTTTTCTAAGCTACTTCAGTATTTATTGACTATTTATTATTCATTCAACAGAAGGTATGGATCTTAATCTCGTTAACCCATACCCTTCATAGAATACAGCTCCACACTCAAGAAACTCAGATTGCGTCCTTGATACATCATTCAGGAGTAAGATCAGCTCCTCATTGACTTCCTTACTATTTGGTTATAGAGAGACTTCAAAGCATACGAACGAATTCCATGAAAAGCGATTAAAAATGACGATTCGTTAAATGTTGGCTAAATGAGAATTTTGTGATAGCGAGCACAGCACACTACTGGCCGTTCTTATTCGATGATGTCATTTACAGAACAGGAAAAACTTGCGACATGAACAGCACTTCCTTTATTCAGAGCAATAGAGACATAATAACAAGAAGTAAACAAATAAATAAAGAAGGTAAATGAAAAGTAACGTAAGAATTGCACAGAATGAAGTAAGCAATGCGGCACCGCCACCCAGTGGTCGGACTGACCAGAAAGACTGGCTGGCCGTCGACCACCCGCACAATTGATCTGTTGTTGATGGGAACCTTCTGGTCAACAGCGACCGACTACTGGCAGTTATCGATCACTGACTACTTGACGTCCGATCAAAAAGTAAAGTTGCAAGCTCTTAAACTAAACTAGTTAATGATGAAGAGTAAATTCTTCGGTGTTCATCAACTACGTTTTTTGGGATGCGCCCTGCACTCGGCTTCCATACAGAATGGTGGTGGCGATTTGAATGCGTACGTGGCCTATACATGATTTGCGGCAGTCAGCCGATGTTCAAGTCAGCACTTTTATCCTCCCGGACGAGACTTCTTCCAATATACGGACCACGGAGGGATGAAAGTCCAGTTAGCCTGCGCGAGAATCGATCCGTGGTTCGATTCCTGGGACAAGCGTGTGTGATAATGCACCCTTTGTCACTATACAACTTCAACCCGTCTAATTAAGTATAGATCAGAATAATTTTACCGTATCAACATGAGAAAATAGATTCAGCAGCTGTCCTAGCACCATTCGATTATACCTGTGTAAGTTCTTCTCTCTCCTCTGGTTATCCCAACAATCTCCATTCGTTCAACGTAAATCATCATTCGCAATACTGGTTCCATCCGAATAATTTTTATTGCATCCAATAAATGCGAAGCCTAACCTCAGAATCGCCTTCGTTTTTTTTTTGTTCAGATCCACTGTGTGAAATGAAAACTTAGGAAGTAACTGGGCATAGACCGTTCCAGATGGAGCAGAGCTAAGCAAGTAAGCAACATGACCGTATGAAGTAAACAATTTGACATCAAAAATGGAGTAAATAGAAATTCTCATCAGAAATATGCTTGCATCCTTGCACCTGGGACCCGCTCTTTCACATAAACTATAAGTAACGGCAAATTCCAAACACGTTTGCCTGGGTATCTCCGCCGGAATGTTCCCAATCATGCAGTGTGAATCATGGAAAAATTCTGAGGTCTTCTTCCTCGACGGAGCCTACTCCTCTCGCAGAAGTGCACCTTAAGACGCACGAAGCTTTCACCTTTCAATATGCCCCAATCCCAGACCGAATGGGTACTATGATCCGCTCACCCTTATCCAATCCCTCATCACTAGGGACCAAACAATGGTAGGGGCCAAGACACAGCTGGGAAATTTACGGAGCTTCTTTGTGTGTCATGGCATCAGTGATAACCCGTGAAATACTCTTATCAGTTCACTTT